TGGTAGCAAGATTTAATAATTCATGAAATTTATTTTGGAGGATACAATAAGTTACGACTCTAAACTTATCTTTGAATCTAAGTGACATTTTCTTATTTTATAATTTAATTCTTAAATTTATTCCCTCTGGAATTAAATTACATCAGACTATCAAATTCTATTTCAAACTACTAAAAAATCATAATTAAGTTACTAATTACTTAAATTAATCTTTTTAATTTTAATAATTATACTCTATTCATTATTATTATTATTGTGAAAAGGTACACTTGACTTTAAATATATTTTATACACAACAAGCTTTTCACACCGTCGCCGGGATCTAAATTCCAAGGAATGGGTTGTGGCTGATTTAAATCTTTAATTTTATTTTTTTGCTTTTTATTAACTGCTCTTAATTTCTTGCTTTTTATTTTTTTATTTATTTTTTTTCTACATTAAGTAAAGAGATGCATAATACATGCACACACTGGCTGAGGAAGAAGAAGAATACGTAGCAGGTAGCACACGAAGAACAAGAGTAGCTGGAAAAAAAATCATGGCAGAAGAATGCACATTAGAAAAATGGCTCCTCCCAAACATTATATCAAAAAGTTAAAAAAAAAAAAGTATATTTAAAAAAAATTGCTTACTAAAATAAAAATATAATTTTAAAATAATCCAAGATAATGTATAATTATAAAGTGGTTGGTCCAGAAAAGAAAAGAAAAAAAAGTAGAAAAAACAAAAAGAAATTCTTCCAAGTGGGCAGAACGCAGAAGTTGACTTGGAGGCATGAGTTCTGCGTTCAGATAGTTGTTAGTCAGACAATGCTGCAGCTGCACCGCCCATCGGTTTAGCATTTTGTTTAAAAAAAATTTTAACGTACATTCAAGAAAATTATATTCAAGAGTTATCAAGATTATGATATCTACTTGATTAATCCTAGACTCATAGTTAATAGTTTTCTCCAGACTCATTTCCCGAGATTTCTGCAAAAAAATTGCATAATCTTTTTTAACATATCTCTGGTGTTTGATTTCCTGATCATGGCGGAATCTTTTCTCTTCAGCATTGCTGAGTCACTCATAACAAAACTTGCTTCTCAGACTTTTGAAGAAGCTTCTCGTGTGCTGGGTTTGTACCACCATCTTCAAGAATTTACGGAGACTCTTACATTAGTCAAGGCTGTGCTGTTAGATGCTGACAACAAGCAGTGGCAGAACCATGAGTTGCGGGAATGGCTGAGGCAGCTCAAACGTGTCCTCTCTGATGCCGAAGATGTTCTAGATGAGTTTGAGTGCCAAACACTACAAAAGCTAGTGGTTAAAGCTCACGGTACCACCAAAGACAAGGTTGGTTACTTCTTCTCAAGATCTAATCCACTTGTTTTTCGTTATAAGATGGCTCAACACATTAAAGATATCAGCAAGAGGCTTGACAAGGTTGCAGCTGATAGGCATAAGTTTGGTCTTCAAATAATTCATGTTGACACACGTGTTGTACATCAGAGAGAACTGACACACTCCCATGTGGCTGATTCAGACGTGATAGGAAGGGAAGAGGATAAAGTAGAGATTATACAGCTTTTGATGCACCACAATTCTAATAACAATGACAAAAGTCTCTCTGTTATCCCCATTGTGGGGATTGGAGGTTTGGGGAAAACAACGCTAGCAAAGTTTGTGTTCAATGATGATAGGATACACGAGTGTTTCCCATTGAAGATTTGGGTGTGTCTTTCAGAAGACTTTGATATTAAGCAACTGATTATTAAAATCATCAATTCTGCTAATGATTCTGCTCATCAATTCTGCTAATGATTCTGCTTTACTCGCCCATGCTCCTGAACGCCAACAGAATTTGAACATGTTAGACATGGAGCAACTGCAAAATCAATTGAGAAACAAACTTGCAGGTCAAAAATTCTTACTCATCTTGGATGATGTATGGAACGAAGATCGTGTTAAATGGGTTGAGTTGAGGAATTTAATACAAGTAGGTGCTTCAGGAAGTAAAATTCTAGTGACCACACGTAGTCACTCCATTGCTTCCATGATGGGCACAGTTTCCCCTCACAATTTAAAGGGTCTTTCTCAAGAGGATTCATTGTCTTTGTTTGTCAAATGGGCCTTTAAAGAAGGAGAAGAGGAAAAATATCCTCATTTGATAAATATTGGTAGAGAAATTGTGAAAAAAAGCATAGGGATTCCCTTGGCAGTGAGAACATTAGGGAGTTTACTATTTTTGAAATTTGAGGTAAATGAGTGGAAATATGTGAGAGACAATGAAATTTGGAATTTTCCACAAAAAAAAAAGATGACATTTTACCTGCACTGAAACTAAGTTATTATGATCTTATGCCAACCTATTTGAGACAATGCTTCGCTTTGTTTTCCCTCTACCCAAAGGATTATGAATTCATTAATTTTGAGGTAACTGCACTTTGGGGGGCACTTGGACTCCTTGTGTCTACAGAAAAGAATAGGACACGTGAAGATGTTGCCAATCAATATTTCCATGAACTACTGTCAAGATCATTTATTCAAGATTTTGTTAACTATGGCACTGCTTATTCATTTAAAATACATGATTTGGTGCATGATCTTGCCCTTTTTATTGCGAAAGATGAGTGTCTAGTCGTAAATTCCCACATTCAAAGTATACCTGAGAACATTAGGCATCTTTCTTTTGTTGAAAATGATTTGCATGGCAAACCATTCTGTGCAAAATCAGTTGGTGTGAGAACCATTCTATTTCCTAACGATGGTGTAGGAGCCAACAGCGAAGCTTTCTTTACATTGATTTCAAGGTACAAATACTTGCAGATATTGGATTTAAGTTATTCGACAGTTGAAGCATTGCCTCATTTCATCGGGAAGTCAAAACATTTAAGATCTCTCAGTCTTTATAATAATAAGAAAATTAAGAGACTCCCTGATTCTATTTGTAAGTTACAAAGTTTACAAGTGTTTGACCTTGGTGGATGCGAGGAGCTGGAAGCGTTACCCAAAGGATTAAGAAAATTGATCAGTCTCCGAGATTTAGTCATAACCACAAAGCAAGTTGTTTTTCCTGAGAAGGAAATTACAAACTTGAGTTCTCTTAAATATTTGACTATTGAATGTTGCAACAATGTGGAGTCTTTATTCTTAGAGATAGAACTTCCTGTTCTTAAAGCATTGGATGTTAATAGCTGTAAGAAACTAAAATGTTTGCCACTTGAAAGTAAACATTTTCCAGCTTTAGAGATTTTGAGTGTTAGGAACTGTGACCAGTTGGAATTGACCAGTGACCATGGTGATCAAAATCTCTACTTAAGGCTAAAAACAGTAATATTTGATTCTTTGCCACAGCTACTGACTTTGCCTCATTGGTTTCAAGGATCTGTTAACACATTACTATCCTTGATACTAGGGAACTGCAACAATCTTGAGGTGCTCCCAAATTTTCTGCCAATGGTAACTTGTCTGAAACTACTACTTATCAATGATTGTCCAAAGTTGGGGTCTCTTCCAGAGGGCATCTATTGCCTCACTGCCCTTGAATGTTTGGAAATCATAAACTGTCCTGAATTATGCAGAAAATACACGCTGCAAGTAGCAGAGTATTGGAGCCAAATATCTCACATCAAACAGATTAGGATTGTTGATTCAAATCTTTGATGATTATGCCAGTCCACTAGAGGTTGCACTGTGGATGATTGGAACCCTCTCAGTCCTTTTAGAGGTTGCACATTTTAGTTATATAAAATAAATGTTTATGTAAAATACTAGTTATATGTAAAATGTGTTGTTGAATTTTCTATTTGCCATGTCAAATTGTTAGTCTTGTGCCTTTATTTTTAAGGCTACTGTAAGCGTTCCACCAACAGGATATATACAGTTAGAATCTTGATGTAATAGATGCAATTGAATGGAACACATAAGCATCAACAATTTTTATTGGTGTGATACTGTGATTTTTCCAAGAATTTGGCTAGCATGCTATCTGATTCAGTGATTACTGATGTATGCTTCTCTGACAATGGTAAAAGCAAACAATGTGCAGAGGCTGAATGTGCAGACATATTGATAACTGATAAGTGTCCTTTCTTTTTTCACATATGGAGACATATCTTGTTGTAAACTGGTTTTGCCTATTGATTATCAAGTCTGAGTCTGTTAGTGGTGAAATGAATCACAGAATCGCAAACAATTTTTTTATATGAACAAAGTTCTGAATAGCCAGAATATTGCATGGGTACTCCTGAACAAGCACCCTACTCCTGTGAGTATCTGGTATCAGTACTTATTGGTATTAGTATACATGGATACATATCGAACATTCACTTATCACTCGTGTATAATTCAATTCATATAAATACCGAATTTTGTTATTGAATAGTTCGGTTTGATACTAAATGAATATCATTTCACTCACTTTAAAACTTCTATCGTACATAAACATTTTTTCTATCTTAATTAGAACATTGCGAAACTTATATTTATGTTATAATTCAATTACTTCATTATTTTTATTTTTCTATGATATATCCTGCCGTGTTCATATTTAACTTTTTAGAAATTTTATCATAGCTCTACCAGTACTGGTATGTGTACGCAATATCCTTATTCATGCAACTTGACAGTAAACCCTTCCTGTTCCGTGAATATTAGTGAAATTTACAGAGGATTATTTGGTAATAATTTGCCTTGAGCACAAATCATAAATGAGGTCATGATATCATTTCATAATTCACATGATACTTTTGCTGCTAAACGCTGCAAAGTTATAACACGCAGTTAAATTCCTTTCCAAAAATACATATTTTATATTTTCATTTTAAAATTTGTTGTCATTTAAAATTGAAATTTTAATCTAGAGGCAAGTTTTAGCGCGACATGGCTTTAGTAGGCACAAACCCAAACATTATCTCTTTATATTAAATTAACTGAATTTATTTTCTAGAAGACTATTTATTATTGTTTGTTGCAAGACAATAACGCTGGAAAATATCTATTCTTGATTGACTCCAAAGTCAAAGTAACACCTGTAATCCCTCAAAAGTCAAAACTGTTGCCACAACTTAGTTTCTTGCAGATGTTTTATACTGAAACCTCTTCCACTGTTGCAACTTACTGATAACCATGGCTGAATTATTCCTCTTCAGCATCGCGGAGTCACTCGTATCAAAGCTTGCTTCTCTGGCATATGAAGAAACTTCTCGGGTGCTGGGTTTATACGACTATCTTGCAGAGTTTACGCAGACTCTCTCATTAGTTAAGGCAGTGTTGTTAGATGCTGAGCAAAAGCAACAACAGAGTCATGAGCTGCGGGAATGGTTGAGGCAGATCAAACTTGTATTCTCTGATGCCGAAAATGTAATAGATGAATTTGAGTGTGAAACATTGCAAAAGCAAGTGGTCCAAGCTCATGGCAGCACCACAACCAAGGTAGCACACTTCTTCTTAAGTTCTAATCCACTTGTTTTTCATTATAGAATGGCTAAAAAGATCAAAAGAATTATGAAGAGATTAGACAAGGTTGCGGCAGACAGACATAAGTTTGGTCTTGAAACAGTTGATGTTGATAGACGTGTTGTGCATAGGAGGGATTTGACACACTCCTATGTTGTTGATTCGGATGTGGTAGGAAGGAATCATGATAAAGAAAACATTATTGAGCTTTTGATGCAGCAGAATCCTAATAATAATGACAGAAGTCTCTCTGTTATCCCCATTGTGGGGATTGGAGGCTTGGGAAAGACCACACTAGCAAAGTTTGTGTTCAATGATAGAAGGATACATGAGTTTTTCCCATTGAAGATGTGGGTTTGTCTTTCTAATGACTTTGACATTAAGCAAGTGATCATTAAAATTGTCAATTCTACCGGTGATTCTGCTGCTGACCAACAAAATTTACATATATTAGATATGGAGCAACTGCAAAGTAAATTAAGAAACAAACTTGGCAGTCAAAAGTTCTTACTTGTCTTGGATGACGTATGGAATGAAGATCTTGTTAAATGGGTTGAGTTGAGAGATTTAATACAAGTAGGTGCTACAGGAAGTAAAATTCTAGTGACTACTCGTAGTTGTGTGACTGCTTCCATGATGGGCACTGTTCCCTCTTACACTTTAGAAGGTCTTTCCATGGAGGATTCATTGTCTTTGTTTGTCAAATGGGCATTTAAAGACGGAGAAGAAAAAAAGTATCCATATTTAGTGAGTATTGGGAGAGAAATTGTTAAAAAATGCAAAGGAGTTCCTTTGGCCGTGAGAACATTAGGAAGTTTACTATTTTCAAAAGATAACAGAGAGGAATGGGAGTTGGTGAGAGACAATGCAGTTTGGAATTCAGCAAAATCTGAAGCTGCTATGTGGCCTGCACTTAAGATAAGTTTTGATCAAATGCCATCCAAATTGAGACAATGCTTTGCTTTGTTCAACCTTTACCCAAGTGATTATGCATTTCATAGTTTTGATGTTACATCGCTTTGGAGAGCACATGGTCTCCTTCCATCGCCAAATAGAAATCAAATATTGAAACATGGTTCAAATCAATATTTGCGTGAACTATGGTCAAGATCTTTTCTAGAGGATTTTGTTGACTACGGCATTGGTTTTGCTTTTAAAATACATGATTTGGTGCATGATATTTCACGGTATTTGGGAAGAGACTCCATAATTGTAAAATACCCCTTTGAGTTTAGACTAGAACTCAGGTATGTCCAGCATATATCTTTTCCTGAAAACGTTGGCATTGAAAATTTCCCCATCCACGAATTTGTAGATGTCAGAACCATACTATTTCCTACTGCAGGAGTTGGAGCCAATAGTGAAGCTTTTTTGATTAAGTGCACATCATGGTGCAAACGCTTGCGATTTTTAGATTTGAGTGATTCTATGTACAAAGATTTACCTCCTTACATTGGCAAGTTGAAACATTTAAGATATCTCAGTCTTGAGAATAATAACAACTTAAAGAAACTTCCTGATTCCCTTTGCAACCTCCAAAAGTTGGAAGTTTTGATACTCAGTGGATGCACAGAACTTGTAAAACTGCCTAAAGGTTTAAGAAAGTTGATCAGACTTCAACATTTGGAGATAACCACGAAGCTATGTGTTTTGCCCGAGACTGAGATTGCAAACTTGAGTTCTCTTGAGACTCTTAGAATTGAATTTTGCAACAATGTGGAATCTTTGTTTGGAGGGATTAAACTCCCTACTCTTAAAGTATTGTGTATTGCCAATTGCAAGAGTCTAAAGTACTTGCCACTTGATATTGAACATTTTCCTGAATTAGAGACTTTGTTAGTTGACAACTGTGATGTGTTGGAATTGTCAAAGGAACATAATGACCAAAACTTCAACTTGAGGTTGAAGGTTGTAAATTTTATTTCATTGCCACAGTTGGTGACCTTGCCTCATTGGCTTCAAGGGTCTCTGGAAACATTGCAATACTTGTTAATTTCAAGCTGCTACAATCTTGTGGGGCTTCCTGAATGGCTATCAGCTATGATTTGTCTGAAAACACTCTGTGTCACTAGTTGTCCTAATATGTTGTTTCTCCCTGATGACATCCCACGCCTCACCACCCTTGAACGATTGGAAATTGATGGGTATCCAGAATGGCGCCAACACTTACTCGTTGCTGAACCAGAAGAAGTGGAGGATGAGGAAGAAGAATTGGAATAAGAGCAAAAGGCAGAGGTAAGTTTAATAACAAAGATAAATGTTGGTTTTTTTCTGTTTTGGGTTTACATCATATAAGTTGTTGTTCTTGTAAACTTCTTTAGTCTTATAACAATGCTTTTTATGAGTATGCCACTACACTTGAAATTGAAGTTGGATTATTTGTTTGAATTGAACAGAGAATGGAGCAAGGAATTCAGATAATAGCCCACCTCAAATCAGTCAACCAGGGAAACATCCAAATTCTTTACTGGGGAACTTTCCTGTGTGTTTAAATTAATTTTTTTAGATTGAATCTGTGTATGATATGTTATTTGGTTGTCTGGGTTCTGATACTAAGTAGTAAGGACTCAACAACATTATTTCTGTAAAATTTTGTGAAAAGGGTTGCAAATGACTATTTAATCAAATGACGGAAGGATAGTATCTGAATGAGGATATAATATGTTGTTTAGACTGAGAATATTGTTGAGATAGACGAGTTATATTTATTTGTTTCAAGGAAACTATTTCATACCTTTTAACAAATTCGTTTAAGTGTTTCGATTATTTTATAATATGTTCTAATTCATGGTTTATACCAGCACACTAGGCGTTTGACGATTTGCCTTGGTGGGTTGCTAGAGGAATTAAATGAAATGGATTTCGTTTCACAACAGACAAGTGCACGCTCAGTTTGAAAATTAAATTTATCTTATGATTTAACTAGAACAGTACGAAATTATATTCATCTTATGATATATTAATGGGTAAAGGACATTCCCCGTCTTCTTTGGAATACTCATTCATTAATGAATGTAATGAGCGATTATTAAGAGATTTAAAGAAGAAAAAAACTTTTTTAACCTTTATTAATAAACAATTTTTTTTAAATGTTTTTAGACTTCAATTGTTATGTGTTATTAGTATAAAAAATATTATATTACTAACTAATTAGAAACTATCTTTCAGATGACTTTCACTTGCATAATCATATGCAATTAGGTGATGACAATATATATAAAATGTATCTTAATTAAGTTATTATTTAATTTATATCTTTAATGTGACTATCTATTGTACACTTAAATATTTTATATTTTATTACTAAACTTTTATCATCATTGTACGAATTTAACTTTTATTTAATATCTCCCTATCATTTAATTTTTAAAAATAACATGAATATTATAATATTAAATAAATTAATAATATAGTTTAAGTAATGTGATGGAAAAGAAATAGAGATGGAAAGAAAATAGGTGGAAAATGAGATGAAAGAAAAAAGTCATCATTATCTTTAACACATTCTTTCTCTTCGTTAATGTTATTTCCTTCAATTATAACCATTTATAATTTTTTTTTTCTAAATAAGTAACTCAATTTTTTAATTAGTAATATTTTATTCAAAAAAATAATTTTAAAAAACTATATAGTAATATTTTATTCTTTAAAGACATTGAAAAAAGCCAAGTGAAATTGAACTCTTGCTAAGCTTATTCACACTATCAAGTGAGTTTTATAGAAAGGATTCCACGACCTAGCTGAGATGCTGCTTTTTACGTGCAAGACAAAATTATTAATCATCTATTTCCACTCTCATTTATTTAATTTAACTCTTGCTTTTCTTATTGGTCTGAAAATATTGTTTGCAGTTTTTTTCTATTCTTTTTTCTCTCTCTCAGTAAGCAAGATGCCGGGTGATGTTGATATGAAAGAAAAATAGTTAGTATTTGAATATAAAAAAATAAGATTGTGGTGGTGGTGGCCGAGGGATTAATTATTAAGAAGTTATGTCTGCTACGCAAACTAGTGTATGATTAACAAGTGGAGTCCAGGTCAGTATTTGAGTTGGCAACCAGTGTTTTGTGCAAGTGCAATAGCTAGCCTTCCGATCTGTGGTGTTGGAGTCTTTGACAAGTGACAACAACTATGGCGGAATCATTTCTCTTCAGCATGGCGGAGTCACTCATAGCAAAGCTTGCTTCTCGGGCTTATGAGGAAGCTTCTCAGGTGCTGGGTGTATATGATCAACTCAAAGAGTTTAAACAAACTCTCTCATTAGTCAAGGCTGTGCTGTTAGATGCTGACCAAAAGCAGGAACACAACCATGAGCTGCGTGAATGGTTGAGACAAATCAAGCGTGTCTTCAATGATGCCCAAGATGTGCTGGATGAATTTCAGTGTCAAACACTACGAAAGCAAGTGGTCAAAGTTCATGGTACAACCAAGGAAAAGGTAGGCCACTTCTTCTCAACCTCTAATCCACTTGTTTTTCGCTATAGGATGGCTCAACAAATTAAACATATCAACGAGAGACTAAACAAGGTTGCAGCCGACAGGCATAAGTTTGGTCTTCAAATAATTCATGTTGACACACGTGTTGTGCATAAAAGAGAACGTCTCACACACTCTCGTGTGAGTGATTCAGATGTGATTGGAAGGGAACAGGATAAAGAAAACATCATAGAGTTGCTGATGCAGCAAAATCCTAATGATAATGTTACAAATCTCTCTGTTATCCCCATTGTGGGGATTGGAGGATTGGGAAAAACTACACTTGCAAAGTTTGTGTTCAATGATAAGAGAATAGATGAGTGTTTTCAATTGAAGATGTGGGTGTGTGTTTCTGATGACTTTGACATTAGTCAACTCATTATTAAGATCATCAGTTCTGCCAATGATTTAGTTTCTGCTGATGCTCCTCCTCTCCCACAAAATTTAAGCATGTTGGATCCTGAACAACTGCAAAATCAATTGACAAACAAACTTACAGGTCAAAAATTCTTACTCGTCTTGGACGACGTGTGGAATGAAGACCGTGTTAAATGGGTTGAGTTGGAAAATTTAATACAAGTAGGTGCGTTAGGAAGTAAAATTCTAGTGACTACACGTAGTCATTCAATTGCTTCCATGATGGGCACTGTTCCTACTCACATTTTGGAAGGCCTTTCTCAAGAGGATTCATTGTCTTTGTTTGTCAAGTGGGCATTTAAAGAAGGAGAAGAGAAAAAACATCCTCATTTAGTAAATATTGGGAGAGAAATTGTGAAAAAATGCAGAGGGGTTCCATTGGCTGTGAGAACATTAGGGAGTTTACTATTCTCAAAATTTGAGGTAAACGAGTGGGAACGTGTGAGAGATAATGAAATTTGGAAGTTGCCGCAGAAAAAAAATGACATTTTACCTGCACTGAAATTAAGTTATGATCTCATGCCATCCTATTTGAGACAATGCTTTGTATCGTTTTCCCTTTTTCCGAAGGACTATAATTTCAATAATTTGTTGGTAACTTCATTTTGGGGGGCACTTGGACTCCTTGAATCACCAGAAAATAATAGGATGCCAGGTGATGTTGCTAATCAGTATTTGCATGAACTACTTTCAAGATCTTTTATTCAAGATTTTTTCAACTTTGGAACTATATGTTCATTTTCCATACATGACTTGGTTCATGATCTTGCCTTGTTTATTGCAAAAGATGATTGTCTACTTGTAAATTCTCATATTCAAAGTATACCTGAGAATGTTCGGCACCTATCTATTGTTGAAAACGATTTACATGGCAAATTATTCGCCACAAAAGCGGTAGGTGTGAGAACTGTTCTCTTTCCTAATGAAGGTGTGGGAGCCAACAGTGAAGCTTTCCTCACATTGGTTTCGAGGTACAAATACCTGCAGATTTTGGATTTAAGTAATTCTACATTTGAAACTTTGCCTCGTTTCATCGGGAAGCTAAAACATTTACGATATTTCAGTCTTGAAAATAATAAGAAAATTAAGATACTCCCTGATTCTATTTGTAAGCTTCAAAATTTGCAAGTGTTGGATCTTAATAAATGCATGAAGCTAGAATCATTGCCCAAAAGATTAAGAAAATTGATTAGTCTCCGAGAATTTTTCATAACCACAAAGCAATCTGTTTTGCCGGAGAATGAGATTGCACACTTGAGTTCTCTTGAATCTTTGGTTATAACTAATTGCAACAATCTGGAGTCTTTATTCTCAGGGATAGAACTCCCATTTCTTAAAACATTGCTTGTTGATAACTGTGAGAGACTAAAGGCTTTTCCACTGGATAGTAAACATTATCCTGCATTAGAGACTTTGGCTGTTTATAGCTGTGACAATTTGGATTTGTCCAAGGGCCATGAAGACCAGAACTCCAACTTAAAGTTAAAATCAGTCCTATTTATATCTTTGCCAGAGCTAGGGACTTTGCCTCATTGGCTTCAAGGATCTGCTAACACATTACTATCCTTGGTACTGGATGACTGCCGGAATCTTGAGGTGCTTCCGGATTGGCTGCCGATGCTAACTTGTCTGGAAGTAATTTTTATCATCAATTGTCCAAAGTTGCAGTCTCTTCCAGATGGAATACAATGCCTCACTTCCCTTGAACGTTTGGAAATTGAAGACTGTCCCGAGTTGTGCACAAAATACATGCCGGAAGTTGGAGAGTGTTGGAACCAAATATCACACATCAAACAGATTACGATTAGAGAGTAAGAAGAGTTGGTAGAAGTGGAAGAAGAGTTACTGGAAGTGGAAAAAGAATTTGAGGAAGTGGAACTTGATATAGCCTGATAATTTTTGAACACCCTTGTTTTTCATTTTTTGGTTCCATGATTAATGCAGGTGATTATTGTTGAGTACTCTCTTAATGTTTTTTGATTTATGTCAGTTGATTATGTTGTTCACTAGCTGTTGCACTATGATGTTTGTTTTATGTAGACATGAATGATGATATATCTTTTATCTTTCTCTTATTTTATTCTTGCAAAAGAAATTTGGTTGTGACGGTGGCAGTTTATTTAAGAAGAAGAAAGAGGTGGAAAAGAAAGAAGAAAAGAGAGGTACGAGAAAGAAAAAAAAACACGAGAGGTACAAATTTAAAAATTATAAGTTTTGAAAAATATTAAAAATAATTTTTGAATTTAATATATTTTTTTTAAAAAAAAAGAGTATATTTATATAAAAATGGAGGTGAGCATAAAAAAAAGTGATCCGAAAAGTATTCATCCCCATCAAAGACGGTGCCATTTAGGACGAGGCCAATCACTGTGACATTGTATTCCACGAGCGTCAGGGCCAACTTTTGCAGGTTGCGCCAAGTCACTTAGGGTGTGTTGGAATAAACGTTCGAGGAAACGTGAACGTACATTTAAGTAAAAGAACCCTCACACTTACTTCTTCGTTTAATACTTCGAAATTCAAGATTGTCCGTTTGAAGCCTCTGAAACAGAAATCCAAACATACACTTTGCAGATTTTATTGACTAAAAAAGGGTCTATTTGGATATGATTTAAACAAACCTCACTTTCCCAACTCCCATCTACAAATTTCCTCCATTGCACTTTTATCAAAATATGTCTGTTTGCTTCTTTCTCTCCAATACCTCATATTCGTAGTGATGGGACAAATCCAAAACACCCACACACACAACTAATCTACCTTCATTTGTAAATTATTCATCCTAATTCCTATCCACCAATAGGATGAGTAGGAATAGGTTGTTTGAACTCAAATGGTAACTTTATTTTCTTAACGTATTCATACCGTTAAATTCCAAAGGTATTATTTTAAATAATTTAATTAATTTTTATTAAAATATTAATATTAATTAAATAAATAAATACTTATTCTAAAATTATATAAATATGAACTTAAATAAAAATAAAAATAAATGCATAATAATTAATTATGTTAATTTATATTACGAACTATCGTTACCAACAATAAATTAGCTAATGTTAATACATGTTTTGAATTATCCTTACCAGTCTTTTTGTATTAAAACAAAAAAAAATGTTTTCACAATCTAAAAAGGTTCTAAAATAATCAAAATAATATCAATTTTTTCACATCATATAAGGCAAAACAAATTAAATTATTTTCTCACATCATATTAGTCCAATACATTTACTTTATTAGATTATTTAGATTGGTTCCTGAAAATCATTGTAATTATTAAAACAAAATCAATCGGTTTAATTAAAGAGAATGGGAACCGTATTAGCTAGATTTTTTTTAATACATGAATTGACCTATAATATTAAATCATGTATTATATGTTATTTATAAGATTATGTCTCATGATCTTAAAATGATAAGCTTATTGGGATTTATAATATCACATTTGGTGTGTTCTGTTTATAATGTATAAATACCAAAAGCCCCTTAATTATTTATATTATTTTGATGGAAAAATTAAAAATAAAAAAGTAATACTTATAACTCTATGAATAGCCATACAATTTTATAAATAAAAGGACACTTAACTATTAAAAAAAATGTTGCACTCCTTTAATTATATATATATATATATATATATATATATATATATATTGCGTCAATTTTATTTTCTAACATTTTATCATTAGAGAAGATGAAAAGAAATTGTAAATAATGATTTGAAAGATCACATAACCCAAATTGTTTTTTCGTCACATAACCCAAATTATTTTTTCTTCAAAATAATATATGTATAAAGGTACGTTTCTACTTAAGTCTTAATCTTATATTATTGATGATTTGACATGAACTTAATTGTTGTAATATTTATCATCATCTAGTTTCTCCGGCCTGTTTTTGTGACAAAGCGATCAAATTAACCCAGAAAAATTGATGAAGCAATAAAATGTAACCAAAGGTAATATATATATATAGGTAGGGGGAAGCTAAGAAAAATCCAAATGGTAGAGCTAAGATAAGATGAGGAGAGAGAGGTGAGACAAGAAATGATACAAGGTTCATGATGCATGTCTACTAAAGGTAGAACCCAGTCTCAATCACTAGAGATTCTACAGTGAAATCCCATATGCTTTTGGATGTTGGGGGTCATATGGATGATAATCACACCCATCATCCATGCACATGCAATGCAAGGTGGGGAAGTGGAGTCATGTCTTTGGAAAGTGAAAAGGGATTGGATTTTGTACATCCATTCTTTGCTTCTTAATTTATGCATCATATTCATACCATTTCATTGCCGGTGGCTAACAAGTAACAAGTAGGGTCCCTCTTTTTTTGGAATTTCTATTATCATCACTCTCATTATTGCAACATCACACCCGTTTTACTCATAATCATACCATTAATTTGCTTTCTGCGTTTTAATTTTCTTTTCTCGCCTTTCTCTTTTTAATCGTTAAATAAATGCTAGCTAACTACTCAATTCTGCACACTCGAGTGTTAATTATTCATCAAATTCAATAAAATAAGACAAACTAGTACTGGGTAGTTCCAGTGTTCGATTCAGTGGTAGTACTATATTTTATTAAAAAAGAAAAGTAATACTCTCTACGTTGCAGTCTAAATTGAAACCATATTTTATGCTTTGTGTGGCAGGGCAATGGGGCATGATTGTTTGGCGGATGCAAGATGCAATAACACAAATCAAATGTGTTGATTGATTCATGAACATGTTTATGTGGAATGTGGGGTATTATGATACACACAGTATTATGTACAAGGTATTACACCGTGTGATACATGCGTTTTTCATTTTTGGCAATACATAAATAAGTTTTTTTCATCTACAAAATTGTTTTTGAAGTTTAATTGTGTAAACGATTATGTTACTAACATATTAGAAATTGTCTTTTTAATGACATTTACCATACATAATGATATATGTAATGTGTAAATAGATGACAATTGTTTGAATGGTGAAAATATAGAGTACATGGATAAATTTACCCATAAAAAAGCATAACCCAAACATAATGGTGGTGACCATCTATAAACATCCAACGTTCAAGTCACTCGATATTTGAGCAGAGTAACAATATGGTAAACAGGAAAAGGAGACCTTACTTTTTAGCTGGAGTAGTGAGAGTTAATATGTTATCCTACATTTCCTTCCCTAGTGTATAATTAGGTATTATACGTGTGACTAGGTGAGGTTATGTGTGATTGAGTCTAATGTTGAATTGTTCCATTTATGGTCATGTTAGTCATGTGTTAACCTTGATAAATGTATTGATTTTGGATTTGTATAAATAGCTGAGTTGGTATGTTCGTCTGCAGCTGTGAATGAGAGTTTCACATTAGATAAAATTAAATATATTACATAGAATATAAGTAAGAAAGATCCATAAATTTAATACCTTAAGATTTTTTATTAAAATGTATCAAATTTACTTGTGTGGTTTGCTCATGATTCATTGAGGAGATATTCTTAGTGTTTAGTAATTGCTAGTAGCCGGAGCTTATTGATGATGATAGTTAAGTTTTAAATGTCACCATTGAATACTTGTGAATAATAAAAAAAGACTTTCTCTTAAGAGAGAACAAATCACGTGGAATAAATTCACATTTGAGTAAAAAATTGTTGATGTGCAAGTATAAATGAGAGTCTCATATTAGATAGTGTTGAATATGTTGAATAATATATAAGAGAGAAAGGAAAAATCTGATGTCTTAAAGTTTTGAGTTAAGATGTATTGTCAAATTTACTTGTATAATTTATTTATGAATCATTGTAGAGATCTCTCTAATATTTAACGTTCCTCATATTCTTAACATAATGTGAGTGTGGCAAGCCTCTAAATTAATGGTCCATGAACGTAATAACGATTTTAGAGTTTAAGAACTAATACGATAGTCTAATGTAACTATATAAAGTGTATCTTAATTAACTTCTTATTTTAATTCTATCTAATGGTAAAGATTAGAGTAATAATCTTAAATTCAAACTTTTAGTCATTGTGGTTATAATATATCCTATAAAAGAAAAAATAAAAAGTTTAAAATGCCTTTCATTAGAAAAGTATATTTATTCTAATAAAAATGCAAAATTCTTTTGATACTTAAATTTTTTGGCAATTTAAAGTATTTAATAAAATACATTTAATAGAAAAAGAATATCTTAAATTGTATTATTACATTTTTTTAAGGATTAACTTAGTAATTCTTTTAAAATTTTGAGATTTAAATTAAAATAAAAAAGAATGACAATACCATTTTGTTTTTACTTAATTATATATATATATATATATATATATATAT